ATGGGACTGGGATGGACTGGGAGCACTGGGATGGACTGGGAGGGAACTGGGATGAACTGGAAATGGGGCTGGGATGAACTGGGAGCACTGGGAATAGACTGGGATGGACTGGGAGCACTGGGAATGGGACTGGGATGAACTGGGAGCACTGGGAATGGGACTGGGATGAACTGGGAGCACTGGGAATGGGACTGGGATGGACTGGGAGCACTGGGAATGGGACTGGGATGGACTGGGAGCACTGGGAATAGACTGGGATGAACTGGGAGCACTGGGAATGGGACTGGGATGAACTGGGAGCACTGGGAATGGGACTGGGATAGACTGGGAGCACTGGGAATAGGACTGGAATGGACTCGCCCGGCTCCCCCCCCCCGTTCCTCCCCCGATGGTTCCGCCCGCCCCGCCTTGGCCCCGCCCCTTTTCGCTCCCGCGCCCCGTGTTTATTTCCCCGCCTGCCACGTGACCCTCCCCGCGCGCCGTGACGTCAGTCACATGACGTCAGTCACGTGAGGGCCGCAGCACCGCCCGGATCCTTCCGCGCCTCCGCCCGGGGCCGCCCCGGGGCCTGCCCGGGACCCCTCCCCGCTACCGGCACCGGGAGGAGCCCGGGCAGCTCCGGGATCCCTTCGGAAGGGACTGGGCCGGACTGGGAGGAACTGGGATGGACCGCGATGAGCCGCACGCAGTTCGCGCAGCGCTGTGGGCTGCGCCCTTACGCCGTCTGCGCAGCGCCCTGGGCGCCGGCGTGGCCGCTCCGAGCAGCTGGGAGGGAACTGGGCTGAACTGGGAAAGGCCTGGGAAGCCTTAGGAAGGCGCTGGGAGGAACTGGGACGAACTGGGACTAACTGGAACGAACTGGAAGAGTCGTTGCACTGAGGGCGAGTCCCTTACGCCATTTACGCAGCGCTGAGGGCACTTCCCATTCCCTTACGCCATTTGCGCAGCGCTGAGGGCACTTCCCATTCCCTTACGCCATTTGCGCAGCGCTGAGGGCACTTCCCATTCCCGTACGCCATTTGCGCAGCGCTGAGGGCACTTCCCATTCCCGTACGCCATTTGCGCANCTGAGGGCACTTCCCATTCCCGTACGCCATTTGCGCAGCGCTGAGGGCACTTCCCATTCCCGTACGCCATTTGCGCAGCGCTGAGGGCACTTCCCGTTCCCGTACGCCATTTGCGCAGCGCTGAGGGCACTTCCCATTCCCGTACGCCATTTGCGCAGCGCTGAGGGCACTTCCCATTCCCTTACGCCATTTGCGCAGCGCTGAGGGCACTCCCGCTTTCCTTACGCTGTTTCCGTAGCTCTGAGGGCACTTCCCATTCCCGTACGCCGTTTGCGCAGCGCTGAGGGCACTCCCGCTTTCCTTCCGCTGTTTCCGTAGCTCTGAGGGCGCTGCCCCGTTCCCTTACGCCGTTTGCGCAGCGCCGCTCCGTTTCCCTCAAGGGGCGCTCCTTACGCCGTTGGCGCGCCGTACGCCGTCGGCGCAGGCGGGGCGGGCCCGTATCCCTGCGCGCTCCCGACGCTCCGGTCCCGGTCCCGGTCCCGGCCCGGTCCGGCCCGGCCATGAAGTTCCTGTACAAGGAGGAGCACCCGTTCGAGAAGCGGCGCTGCGAGGGGGAGAAGATCCGCAAGAAGTACCCGGACCGAGTGCCGGTGAGGCCGCGCCTCAGGGAGCCCCGGAAATCCACCGGGAACCCCGAAATTCCCACCGGGAACCCCAAAATTCACTTCGGGAACCCCAAAATTCACTTCGGGAACCCCGGAATTCCCACCGGGAATCCCGGAAATCCACCGGGAGCCCCGAAATTCCCACCGGGAACCCCGGAATTCCCACCGGGAGCCCCGGAATTCCCACCGGGAGCCCCGAAATTCCCACAGAGAATCCCCAAATTCCCACCGGGAGCTCCGAAATTCCCACCGGGAACCCCAAAATTCCCACGGGGAACCCCAAAATTCACTTCGGGAACCCCGGAATTCCCACCTGGAACCCCAAAATTCCCACCCGGGAACGCCAAAATTCCTTCCTGGGAATCCCAAAATTCCACCGAGAACCCCAAAAATCAAGCAGGGAACCCCAAAAATCCCGTCCGGGAGACCAGAAATTCCCACCAGGAACCCCAAAATTCCACCCGGAACTCCAAAATTCCCACAGGGAACCCCAAAATTCACCCCGGGAACCGCCGAATTCCAACCAGGATCCCAAATTTCCAACCGGGAATCCCAAAATTCCCCCCGGGAGCCCCAAAATTCCCACCAGGAACTCCAAAATTCCACCCAAGAATCCCAAAATTCCATCTGGGAACCCCAAAATTCCACCCAAGAATCCCAAAATTCCATCTGGGAACCCCAAAATTCCACCCAAGAATCCCAAAATTCCATCCGGGAATCCCAAAATTCCACCCAAGAATCCCAAAATTCCATCTGGGAACCCCAAAATTCCATCCAGGAACGCCAAAATTCCATCCGGGAACCCCAAAATCCCCCCTGGAACCCCAAAATACCATCAGAGAACCCCAAAATTCAGCCTGGGAGCCTCAGAATTCCCTTCCAGAACCCCAAAATCCTCCCCGAGAACCCCAAAATCCTCCCCGAGAACCCCAAAATTCCACCCAAAACCCCCAAAATTCCACCCAAGAATCCCAAAATTCCATCCGGGAACCCCAAAGTTCTTAAATTTTCATGTCCCTTTGGGGTTTCCCTCAATTTTGGAGGTTTTCTTGCTTAAAATTCAGGAGGTTTTCCTCAAATTTAAGGGATTTTCCCCAAATCCAGAAGGATTTTCCCCAAATTCCCAGGATTTCTTCCCCAAACTTGGGAAGATTTTCCCCCACAAATTCGGGGATATTTTTTTCCCAAATTAATCGGGATTTTCCTCAAATTCAGGGAAGTTTCCCCCTAAATTCACATTTTTTTCCCCCTAAAATCCAAGAATTTTTGTACCCACAACTCTGGGAGTTTTATTCCCCCAAAATCCAAGCAGATTGGGACTCAAAAATCCAAATTTTATTCCTCAAAATCCAATTTTTGTCCCCCAAACTTAAGGAAATTTCTCCCCCACAAAATCCAGGATTTTTTCCCCAAAGTGAAGGAAAATTTTACTTCACAAGTTCTTTTTGTTTTCCCCCAAAACCTGAGGGATTTTCCCAATTTTCCCCCAGGTGATCGTGGAGAAGGCGCCCAAGGCCCGGATCGGGGACCTGGACAAGAAGAAATACCTGGTGCCCTCCGACCTCACAGGTGGGGCAGGAATTTTGGGGAATTTGGGGGAATTTGGGGGAATTTGGGAATTTTTGGGGCTTTTTTGGGAAATTTTGGGGCTTTATTTTGGAATTTTTTTGGGTTTTTTTTCCCATTTTTTTCGATTTTTTGGGGCAATTTGGAGGTTTTTACGGGGAATTTTGGCGTTTTTTATGGGAATTTTGGGGTTTGGTTTGGGGAATTTTGGGGAATTTTTTGGGGTTTTTGTGTTTTCTTTTTTTTTGGTGGATTTTGGTGGGTTTTTTTTGGGAATTTGTTTTGAGTTTTTTGGGAATTTTTGGGAATTTTGGGGTCTTTTGAGGAATTTTTGGTGTTTCTTCTCAATTTTCTGGGTTTTTTGGGGTGATTTGGAGTGTTTTAGGTGGATTTTTGGGGGTTTTGGACAATTTTGGGAATTTTTGGAGGGATTTTTTTTTTTTAATTTTGGGGTTTTGGGGGATTTTGGGGTTTTTTGAGGAATTTTTTGGCTTTTTGGTTTTTTTGGAGCATTTTTGGGGTTTTTCCCAAATTTTCTCAGTTTTTTTGGGGTGATTTAGAGTTTTTCTGGTAGATTTTTGGGGGTTTTGGAGTGGAATTTGGTGGTTTTTTTGAGATTTTTTTTTTTGCAGTTTTTCAATTGATTTTTGGGGCTTTGGGGTTGATTTTGGGGTTTTTAGGGCTGAGTTTGGGGGCATGTGGGTAGATTTTGGGGTGTTTATGGTTGATTTTGGGGGTTTTTGGGTTGATTTGGGGGTTTTTAAGGCTGATTTTGGGCTTTTTATGGTTGATTTTGGGGTGTTTTTCGGCCGTTTTTGGGGTTTTCTCTGTTTTTTTTTATTAGTGAGCTGATTTTTCTATTTTATTTTTAATTTTCTCCCTGATTTTGGGGCGATTTGGGGTGTTTTTGGTGCTTTCAGTGTTTTTAGTTCTATTTCCTGATCTGGAAGCGGATCCACCTGTGGGCCGAGGACGCTCAGCTCAGTTTTTGGGTCGATTTTGGGTGTTTTTGGGTCGATTTTTCTGGGGTTTTTTTTGTTTTTCTCCCTGATTTTGGGGCGATTTTGGGTGTTTTTGGTGCTTTCAGTGTTTTTAGTTCTATTTCCTGATCTGGAAGCGGATCCACCTGCGGGCCGAGGACGCTCGGCTCAGTTTTTGGGTCGATTTTTCTGGGTTTTTTTTTGTTTTTCTCCCTGATTTTGGGGTGATTTTGGGTGTTTTTGGTGTTTTCAGTGGGGCAGTTCTATTTCCTGATCCGGAAGCGGATCCACCTGCGGGCCGAGGACGCGCTCTTCTTCTTCGTCAACAACGTCATCCCCCCCACCAGCGCCACCATGGGCCAGCTCTACCAGGTCCCAGAGCCCCGAAACCTCCCCGAACAACCCCAAAAACACCCCAAAAAATCCCCAAAAAATCCCCAAAAATATCCCCAAAACCTGCCCAAAACACCCCCAAAAAATCCCCAAAACAGCCCCAAAAATATCTCCAAAACCTGCCCAAAATATCCCCAAAAGAGTCCCAAAAATATCCCCAAAACCTCCCCAAAACAGCCCCAAAACCTCCCCAAACAACCCCAAAAACACCCCAAAAAATCCCCAAAACAGCCCCAAAAATATCTCCAAAACCTGCCCAAAACAGCCCCAAAATATCCCCAAAAATATTCCCAGAACAGCCCCAAAATATCCCCAAAACCTGCCCAAAACGGCCCCAAAAATATCCCCAAAACCTGCCCAAAATATCCCCAAAACAGCCCCAAAATATCCCCCAAAACAGCCCCAAAAATAACCCCTAAAAACCTCCCCAAAACAGCCCCAAAAAATGCCCAAAACAGCCCCAAAACCTCCCCAAAACGGCCCCAAAATATCCCCAAAATTCCCCCCAAAAATCCCCAAAATTTCTCCAAAACCTCCCCAAAATTATCCCCAAAAATTCCCTAAAACCTCCCCAAAATCTCCTCAAAACAGCCCTGAAATCTCCCCAAAAATCCCCAAATTATCCCCAAAAATCCCCAAATTATCCCCAAAAATCCCCGGATCACCCCAAAAAAACCTGGGAGCATCCTCCAAAAAAAGAAAAAATGGGATAATGGGAACAAAAACTGGGGGGAATTTTGGGATTGGGGGAGGAAATTTGGGATTTGGGGGGGGAAATTTGGGATTTAGGGGAGGAAATTTGGGAATGGGAGGGAAATTTGGAATTTGGGGAAGGAAATTTGGGATTAAGGGGAGGAAATTTGAGATTTAGGGGAGGAAATTTGGGATTTGGGGAAATTTGGGATTGGGGGAGGAAATTTGGGAATGGGGCGTTAAAAATCCCAGGAAAAAGCCCCAAAATCCGGGAAAATCCCAAATATTCCCAAATATTTTGAATTCCCGGTGTTTAACCCCTCAATTCCCTGTTTTTAACCCCTCAATTCCCTGTTTTTAACCCCTCAATTCCCGGTTTTTAACCCCTCAATTCCCGGGTTTTTAACCCCTCAATTCCCGGTTTTTAACCCCTCAATTCCCGGTTTTTAACCCCTCAATTCCCGGTGTTTAACCCCTCAATTCCCGGTGTTTAACCCCTCAATTCCCGGTGTTTAACCCCTCAATTCCCGGTGTTTAACCCCTCAATTCCCGGTGTCTAACCCCTCAATTCCCTGTTTTTAACCCCTCAATTCCCGGTGTCTAACCCCTCAATTCCCGGTGTTTAACCCCTCAATTCCCAGTGTCTAACCCCTCAATTCCCGGTGTTTAACCCCTCAATTCCCGGTGTTTAACCCCTCAATTCCCGGGTGTCTAACCCCTGATTTCCCTGTTTTTAACCCCTCAATTCCCGGGTGTTTAACCCCTCAATTCCCGGTGTTTAACCCCTCAATTCCCGGTGTTTAACCCNTTCCCGGTGTTTAACCCCTGATTTCCCTGTTTTTAACCCCTCAATTCCCGGGTGTTTAACCCCTCAATTCCCGGTGTTTAACCCCTCAATTCCCGATGTTTAACCCCTCAATTCCCGGTTTTCCCCCCTCAGGAGCACCACGAGGAGGATTTCTTCCTTTACATCGCCTACAGCGACGAGAGCGTCTACGGGGCCTGAGCGCGCGGCCGGGGCTCTCCCGCCCTTCCCGCCTTTTCCCGCTTTTTCCCCCTTTTTCCCCATTTTTTGCCCCTTCCCGGTTTCTTTTCCCGCCCCCTCCCCCCAATAAAAGCGACGGAGCCGCCTCAGGGCCAGGACCGGAAGTGGGCGTGGCTTGAAGGGGAGGCGGGGCTTGCATAATGAGCCCCGCGCGCCAAATGCGGGCGCGGAGGGGGCGTGGTTTGCATAATGAGCGCGCGCGTGAGCTGCCAAATATGGGCGTGGGGGGCGGGGCTTGAATAATGAGGGTTTTGCGCATGCGGACAATGCAAAGTAAAAGCGGGGGGCGTGGTTTGCATAATGAGCTCCGCGCGCAAATGAAGAGTGCCGTGTGAGGCGAGGGGGCGTGGCTTGCATAATGAGCGCGCTGCGTGCGCGCATAGCTCAATAAGGGCGGGGCGAGAGTGCGATTTGCATAATGAGCGCCGCGCGCATGCGTGGAGGTCAAACTAGGACCAAAAGGGGGCGTGGTTCGCATTTGGGAATTGAGGGAAATTTGGGAATGGGAAGGAAATTTGGGATTTGGGAGGAAATTTGGGATTTGGGGGGAAATTTGGGAATGGGGAGGAAATTTGGGATTGGGGGAAATATAGGATTTGGGGGGAAATTTGGGATTTGGGGGGAAATTTGGAATGAGCCACGAGCAACGCGGAATAGCCCGGAGGGGGCGTGGTTTGTATAATTGGCACGTTGCACATGCGTAGAACCCAAGGGGAGCGCGGCGCCCAAAGAGGGGCGTGGTTTGTATACAGCGTTAGGGTGTTGCGCATGCGTAGAACTCAAAGTGAGCGCGGCGTAAAGAGCGTTGCCCGAAGAGGGGCGTGGTTTGTATAACTAGCACGCTGCGCATGCGTACAACTCAAAGCGAGCGCGGCGCGGTGCCCGGAGAGGGGCGTGGCCCGGCGGAGGGGGCGGGTCCTGCGCGTGCGCGCGGCGGGCGGGGCGGGGCGCGGCGGGGGCGGGGCGCGGCGGGGGCGGCGCGGTCCGAGGCGGCACCGGAGGGAGCGGGAGCGGCACCGGGGGGGGCCCGGAACAACCGGGGGGGCCCGGCGGGGCCGCGGCCATGGCCGAGCCCGGAGGTACCGCGGCAGCGGCGCGGGGCAGCCCCGCAGCGGCGGCGCCGCGGCCGCCGCAGTGCCGGGAGCGGCGGGGTTGGGCTCCCGGTAATGGAAAGGGGGGGGGAGGGAGGGGGGGTACCGGGAGTGGCGGTGCCGGGATAAGGGAGAGCAGAGCGGCGGAACCGGGCGGGTCTGGAGACGGTACCGGGGGGAGCTGGAGGAGGAACCGGGGAGAGCTGGAGCCGGTACCGGGGGAGTTTGGAGCCGGTACCGGAGGGGGTTTGGAGCCGGTACCGGAGGGGGTTTCAAGAGGGAACCGGGGGGGTTTGGAGCCGGTACCGGGGGGAGCTGGAGGTGGAACCGGAGGGAGTTTGGAGCCGCTACCGGAGGGGTTTGGAGCCGGTACCGGAGGCGGTTTGAAGCGAGGACCGGGGGGGTTTCGAGTCGGTACCGGGAGGAGCTGGAGGAGGAACCGGAGGGAGTTTGGAGCCGGTACCGGGAGGGTTTGGAGCTCTCAGAGCGGCGGTACCGGGGGTAGATCGAGCTGCTACCGGAGAGAGTTTGGAGCCGGTACCGGGAAGAGCTGGAGGGGGAATTTGGGGGGGGTTTGGAGCCGGTACCGGGAAGAGCGGGAGGTGGAACCGGGACGAGTTGGGAGCTCGCAGAGCGGCGGTACCGGGAGGGTTTGGAGCCGGTACCGCGGGGAGATCAAGGCGGTACCGGAGCGGATTTAAAGCCGGTACCGGGGGGGTTTGGAGCCGGTACCGGGGGGGTTCGGACCGCTCCGAGTCCCGGTAGCGGCTCCAAACCGGGAGGGAGGGAGCGGCAGCAGCGGGAGCGCAGAACCGGGGGGGGCGGGGGGGCGGGGGGAGTTTGGAGCCGGTACCGGGGGGGATCGGAGCGTGCGGAGCCCCGGTGGCGCTGCCGGGGAGGCTCCGGTGCCGCTCCCGGTGCGATCCCCGCTCCCTTCCCGTTGCACAGAAGCGCTGGCGCCGCTGAAAAGCGAACCGCAGGTGAGGGGGGGCACCGGGAGGCACCGGGAGGGGTGGGGGGACGGGGAATCCCCCGCTGCTCAATCCTTTCGCCGCTGCCGGTGTAACCGGGAGGGGCCCCGGGGTTTTTTGGGGGGGTTTAACGGGAAAATCCCGGTGTTCACGGTGAGCCCTTCTCTCCCTCCCTGCTCGGTTCCCGGTACCGGCAGCCCCCGGAAAAGCGGCGGAGAACGATCGAGGACTTCAATAAGTTCTGCAGCTTCGTGCTGGCCTACGCCGGTTACATCCCGGCGGCCGCCGAGGTAACCGGGGAGGCACCGGGGGTTACCGGGAGCTACCGGGGAGGCACCGCGAGGGTCGGGGAAGCACCGGGAAAACCGCGGAGGCGCCGGGAGAGATCGCGGGGGTAACGGGAGGGCAGCCGAGCCTTGCGGGAGGTACCGGAGGGGCCACCGGGAGAACACCGGGAGTTGCCGCCGGGAGGTCCCGGAGGGGCACCGGGAGGTCGCGGGGAGGCACCGGGCGGGGCTTTAAAGAAGTGGGAGGTTTTTAAGAGGCGTCCCCGGTCCTTAATTCCCCCGCTCCCCCCCCCCGTTCCCTCTCCCGGTTCCCCCCGGCCCCGCCGCCGCCCCGGCAGCTCCCGGCGTGCCCCGCGCGGCCCCCGCGTGATTGACAGCGCGCTAAACCCCGCCCCTCCCTCGCTTTCCGCCAATCCCGTGGCGACCCGCCCTAAGCCACACCCACAGCGGGAAATCCCTGGTGGCAAAGCCCCGCCCATTCGCGGAGGACCAATGGCGGCGCGATTTGCATGGCCACGCCCCCTGCGTGCCGCGGGGATGATGGGAGGTGTAGGCGGTGCTTGGCGCGGGGACTACAGGTCCCGGCGTGCCTTGCGCGGCGACGCCATGTTGAGAGGGGGGTTGGTGGGGGGGATTTTGGGGGGGATTTTGGGGGTCCTGAGGTGGGTTTGGGGCGAATTTGAGGGTCCTGGGATGGATTTTGGGGTGAGTTTGGGAGCCCTGGTTTGGATCTTGGGGTGAGTTTGAGGTTCCCGAGTTTAATTTTGGGGTAAATTTGGGGGCCCTGAGTTGGATTTTGGGGATACCAGGTTGAATTTTGGGGTGAGTTTGGGATTCCCGGGTTGGACTTTGGGGTCAGTTTGAGAGTTCTGAGTTGGATTTTGGGGTCAATTTGACATTCCTGGGTTGGATTTTGGGGTCAATTTGACATTTCCAGGTTGGATTTTGGGGTGAATTTGGGCGTTCTGAGATGGATTTTGGGGTGAGTTTAGGGGTTCTGAATTGGATTTTGGGGTCAATTTGAGATTCCCGGATTGGATTTTCGGGTGAATTGGAAGTTCCTGGGTTGGATTTGGGGTGAGTTTGAGATTCCTGGGTTGGATTTGGGGTGAATTTGAGATTCCCAGGTTGTATTTTGGGTGAATTTGAGATTCCTGGGTTGGATTTTGGGGTCAGTTTGAGGTTCCTGGGTTGGATTTTGGGGTCAG